GGGGGGGGGGGGGGGGCTTTGTTCATAAACAAAGTAGCAATTTGGATACAAAGCAACGAATTTAAATTAGGACAATGGCAGCGTCTGAAATAGAAACTGAAATGTTATTTATTAATTTATTAATTCCAGATTTTTGGTATTAATAAATGTGCGGAAGAATTATTGCAAGTATTTATTAAGGTTGCTTAGTAAAATAAATATACAAAAAAATACAAATACAAATACTGAAATATCAGTATGTCCTACGGGCACCGTCTTTCTGTGGCGTGCTGCCTTTTGTGTCTATACGACAGTGGCAGCTCGTGTGGTGTGTGTTCTCTTTTAAATTGTGACAGTGCGTCCTCTCGCGGTGACAAGCACGTTTTTCTAAAGCTTACCTCTGCATGTTCAAAAGAGGCTCTTAAACCCTGACTGCGACATATAGGCTAATGGTGCAGTAAGACTAAGGCCATACCTTACTTTCCGCTCGCTATTTAAACACAGGCTTTTCCCCCGGCAGCTTAAGTCGGTGTTCTTTATTCCTTGAAGGACACCAACCGAACGACTGCATCGTTATTCATTTAAGGGGCCATTACATGTAACGTGATGCAAATACATTAGCATTTCAGTACGCACGGGTAAAACTTTAACCTTAAATATATAATGGGAACATTACTTCTGACAGTGTGCTCCGACGACACATTATGGGACAGTGTCAAGTATTATATTCGCTATTAGGCCTACTTGGTTTATCTGTAATAAGGGGGCTTGGCACTTAGGGTGATATTTTGTCTGTAATGCTCCGGTTTGGCCGGCCCGGCCCCACAGATTGACAAAATGTAATTGGGCTGCTCGTTCGATGCTCTGAAATGCTCTGAGATGATGGCCAGCCCAGTCTCCGCTGGACGTGACGTCAGTAAACAGGCAGGAAATCTACTCTTCGCGTTGGATGTAAAATGTGTTCTCTGCAAGCTTGCGTTTTTCTCGCGATAGTTATTTCTCTAGGGGTCTAGAAAACGATGGGTAAACACTAGTGTTACTCCAATAATGTGATTTCAAATGAAAAATAAAACAAGTAAGAAATAATGATTATTATAATAAATGATAAAATGATGTCGATCATTTTCATTCCATCGTGGCGACTAGCTTTCATGTTCCTTTAAAAAAAAAAATAATGGAATTGGTTGAAAATGCTGATTCAGGAAATGTGCATCTTCTCTCTCCCCCTCTTCGTTCTCTGGTAAAGACCGAACTTGGATGGAAAGTGTTGAATTGGCTCACTGTCATTGTCGAGCTGTCAGCGGACGCGTGTAATGATCCGCGCGAGCGTACATTAAGAGGCACTCGAAGGTAAAAGTGAAATCCTGATTATGTGTTTTGTTTCTTGACTGAATGTCTTAAGCTTAGTGCGCGGGACATGGATGGAAACAGTGCCGAACACTACAGACACGATGTGTCAGAGTTTGGAAGTATTTGCATGTCTTCCCAAGGCATCACACTTTTCACTGTGGGTGAGAACTTAAGACCCGGTCGTTTTATTTTAGTCTATCCTATAACAAGGGTTAGAAGATGTGCGCTGATAACACGCTTTGTTTATCGAGCACCATTTATCGACACATAAAACCTCTCTAATAATTTTGGTGAAGTGTTTTGAACGGGCGTGTAGATGATAAAATCCGATAGCAGGTCATGACGGTAGAAGCCATCACAAACAATATGGTGCACGGCTCACTGTCATTGTCGAGCTGTCAGCGGACGCGTGTAATGATCCGCGCGAGCGTACATTAAGAGGCACTCGAAGGTAAAAGTGAAATCCTGATTATGTGTTTTGTTTCTTGACTGAATGTCTTAAGCTTAGTGCGCGGGACATGGATGGAAACAGTGCCGAACACTACAGACACGATGTGTCAGAGTTTGGAAGTATTTGCATGTCTTCCCCTCTCAAAAACATGATAGCATTTTTCATACTTCATCCTATTCTACAGCTATAAGGTGTTATACAAGGAAAAGAGAAAGAAAAATAACCGTACCGTAAAATATATATATATAGCCTTAGAAGATGTGCGCTGATAACACGCTTTGTTTATCGAGCACCATTTATCGACACATAAAACCTCTCTAATAATTTTGGTGAAGTGTTTTGAACGGGCGTGTAGATGATAAAATCCGATAGCAGGTCATGACGGTAGAAGCCATCACAAACAATATGGTGCACAGAAGTGATAATAATAAACAAACAAACATTACATTTGCTATTGCAACTACTGTTATAATTATTAGTGTTAGTAGGCCTACTAGTAGTAGCACGGTTATTATCATTTTTGTGATATAGGCCTACAATATAATTACACAATACACTCAATCAAAACAATTGTGTTAATTTTCATCCGCTTTCATTTTTGTTTGATCGTGCGGAGGCGAGTGCGATTGTTATCTGTGACTGATTTTGTCATTTATGTAGGCCTATATGGACCCTCCATACATCGACACGTTATACATGCGTAGGTTGTATGGGGATGAATCAAATTTTAACGCAAGCCTCCATGACGTCTGTGGCGACCAGCTGAAGATGTGAGAAGATTTGAAAGGGTCGGCCTAGAGTGCCCAGGTATAGCTGTCCAAACAGAGCGGGGTGAACCAGAGGACACACACTTCACCCCAGCTACCGAATGATGAAGACAGGGTAGGGGGGTTCAGTCCATAGCGAAACACGAGCGCTTCATTTGTGATATTCACGCTTTTAAAGGCTCGTTCGTCACATTTATTTTTAAGCAACAAAACGTGTCTCTTCTCAGTTCCCAGCAGTGGAAAATCACAAAGGAGCTAAACTGTAAAACGCATAATGTTAGAATAAATTATGTCCAAAATATTTGGACGAGAAATTATTTTTGTGTGTGTGTTATTTCTATAAAACAAAAGCAATAATAATAATAATAATAAAAAAATAGACAATTATTATTCTAATTGTATCATATAATAATAACCACAATTGTATAACATAATAATAATAATAACAACAGCAATAATCCAATAATAATAATAGAAAAAGAAGAATAACGGTAACTCGGAACGTTAAAGTAGACTTGGGCGGATTGTGATTCATGCACTTAATCTTTTCAAGAACGAACTTTCTGTCTGAATTTGTATACTGTGTGATGGTGGCCTATGTAGGTTATGCTGCAAATTCTTAGAACCCAGTCGAGGACGTGAAATTCTGATAGTTGCGTCATAATGAGAGTTTGACTTATTTCTAAGAATAACTGACTGAAAAAAGGTGAGAGGGAAAAAACACGAGAGCCTCGAGCGCAGGTTTTGTTTTTGATAATTCCTCGCTCGAGAGAGAAACATCTAAAGATGGTTTTCAATTGGCGCTGATGACAGCAAACTCCACAAATCTGCAACAAGCCAACCAATTAATTTCCCAAATAATCGTTATTTAGTCTCCATTTGTTATTCGTTTTCGTTGATCCATCCCCGATATATTAGCCTTCAAAATATGAATCCGTCTGTTCGTATAACATCATCACCCTGTGCTCGGCTGCTTTAGGCCTAATGTATTTATTTGATATCCATTGGTGCTCTTTGGGATGTCGCATGTAACAACTTCATAACTCAAAGGGGGTAAACAAAGAGGCACATCGCAGGGATATTCTCGTTCAAACAAAAGTGCATCTCTTCCTTTCAGTCGAGTGCTGATTTGAGGACATGGTTTCAGATCATTTCACTGTGCAGCTGAATGGAGTGGCCGGTCTCGTGCTATCAGGCAGAAACAGCTGTTTTACGCGCATTCAGCTCCAATCAATGGAAGCTGCTGCTCTCTACATGCAAACACAAACCAAACGAGCTCGCGCCCATGAAAGACGGCCTATGATGTGCCTTAATGTCGCGTCCTCTTCTCTCTGTTTCCAATGTTCTTCAAACCAGCAACACAAATGCATCCTCTCTCGCTCTTTCTGCCTCTCTTTCTCTCTCTCTACACACACACTGGAAGCACAGTTTCAGCAAATCAACTTATCTTTATGACCCATTGCGGTGCTAATCAGATCAATTTCACGGGTTAAGGGAAGCATACTCGCTCACACTCAGGTGGTAATAGATCATTAAAATCCTTCATCTAGAGGACGGTAGGCGGGAAAATGACTCTTAAAATACAGCGGCGTCCATAAAATCCCACCCCGATTGTCGGAAACTGGACGTGGGTGCTGGTGAAACGCATAGCCTATATATGTGTCGGGTGAAATGAATAAGCTCATGAGAGTTGACATATACACGTCTGGAATTGTTAAATGACTGTACCACCCTCAGACAGAACAACACGTAAAAAAATATCTATTTTTTTAAAAACTGACACTCGCAAACCCAACATATCTGACGCAGAAAGGATTGTTATCATGGCCAGGTGTATTGCTCCAAACAGAAAATGGGGGGACAAAGCATCCGAAGAACTGGCATTTAAACGCATGCATAACGCTTAGGAACATGCAAGCTAAATCA